CCCCCCCCCCCCCCAACCTGAACATGATGTCCTCCGAGAGCTTGTGCAGTATCACGTCCAGAGGCCGGTGCTCTTCTGGCCGCTCCGAGAAGTTCAAAGGGAAAAACTCCACGCCATCCATCGGCCCCACCGTCATCACCTGTTGGCCAAGCAACCGAAGGCAGCACACAAACACACGTGACTCGACCATGGCAGGCGTCCACAAATGACTGACCCGATCTCATGCCCGGCATGAATGGTGGCGGATCCCGTCTGGGCCTGCAAAAGCCCATTCCGCTTGCTTGGTCACTTTCTCCCTCGCCGACTTTTCTTTTTGCACTCTCTTGAGTCCTACTTATTAGTCCTTCGGGAAGCGGACAGGCCCATGTGTCCAACTACAAGAGTGACGAACGTGGCTACGAAGGAGCCCCCGCCACAGCAACAACAACGCCCTACTGTATGTATTACCTCCGCGTGTGAAAGGCCCACCTCAGCCATGGTCTCCATCTTCTTGGCCATGAAGGAGAACCCTACCACCACCGTCCCCATGGGGTCACCTTCTTCTTCTTCCTGCTGCTGCTGCTGCTGCTGCTGCTTAAATCCTGCTCCTTCCCCTCCGGTCCCGCTCTCCGTGTCATCGTCCATCGACTCGAGCCTGCCGCACAAGTGGAAAGTGCCAAATTGCATGGGGGTTTGGTGGGCCGGAAATCGGCCATCACAGGAGGCGGGTTGCGTGCCCGTGGGTAAGGGGGAGTCTAGCTATCCAGGGCCTTGTGGGGCGTGGGAAGCGAATTGCGACGGATTTTGCCTGCTCTTTTGCTGTACAGTGTCCACGCCATTTCACGCAATGCACAGCAGCAGCAGTCCCGAGCGATCGAAGGGCTCAAAAGACACCCTCCGTTTCACGACGCGGTGTTCCAGCTTGTCAGGTGCCTTTGTGCCTCTTCGACCAATCCCAAGAAGGGCCCAGATTCGATCGACGAGAGTGAGACGGAAGAGCAAGGAGCTTGCGACTGCCGCTCTTGATGCCGCACGACCACCTTCACGTCGACGTCCGTTGTTTCCTGGACACTGCGAATTGTGGTGGACATAGGGAGCCGCGCGCTACAAACTGCCGGGTCAACTTTGAGATTGCTTGGTGGGAAAGCAGCCCATCTGGACAGCAATAGAACAAGCAAATAGACAAACGGAGGCCGGAGTCGAGATAATCCAGTGATGGTGCCCTGCCGTTGTTTCTCACGTTCACACATACTACTGAGGACCTGCTAGGCCACTATCATCCATATGAGGTTCGGTTGAGTACCACCAAACGCGCACTCGAAGCAGCAGCAGTGTAGAAAACAACGGCAGCGTGTGGATAGCCGTAGAACTCGATGGCATGTAGATCAGGCAAGGGTACCAATGCACCGCAAACTGCGAGAGGGTCTGAGATTCCACGTAATTCAGAGGCTCACTGCTGCAGGTGTGTGCCACGTTGCCCGGATCGGCGTTACGATCCGCCGCCAGCAAAGGGAGCTTTGGGGACAACACGTGGTTGGTATAACAGCAACAAGTTGGTTGACAGGTGTCATCGTGGAGATGGTGCAGTAATTGATTTCGAACGACCGAAGGACTCTGCCCTTCAAGAGTGAACCATGCCCAGGACAGGTGAAGCTGCATGGAAGACGGCCAACGGGTCACGTCAAATGTCCAAGCACCGCAGCACAAAGCAGCCGCGCGCAAACGTAGCGCGGTGGATACAGCGTGGCGGGACTGTTGGGTGCAGCCCTGGACGCAAAGATGGTCGATTCGCGGAACAACTCTGCCCTCTTGCCAAGGAACGCTCGTACCCCCACGACACCACGACTCACTTTCGAGACTGCCCTGGAACACGAAAGCATAGGAGCCCGCACTGCCACCAGACAACCAAGCCCGGCGCTCGCTGTGTGTCAGACACGCGGCAGAAGTGCCAGCTGCCCTCCACTTAAGGCGTGGTACGCATAAAAACCCAACCCCGGGTCCCCGGGTTTACACGTTAACACCGCATGCCGCACCAATGCAGCAGTAAACAGGGACGGAGCAACTCAGCAAGCAGTGTACGGGGTAGCACCTTGAAGGGAGGGCGGAGGACATACGCTAGTGGGCTGCTGCTGCCTAGACGAGAGTTGCCGTGCGCAGCGGAGACGGGGTGACGATGTCGTCGTCAAGTGTCAGCGCGAGCCCCGCGCTGATGCACGTCGCGGATGTCGAGCGTGCGGTTCGATTCTTGCAAGAGGTAGGTTTTTGTTCCTTTTTATGTCTTGTTCACCGTGTGCTGCCTCCACACCACAGCGGTGTAACAACGCTATAACCAGGTCCGTCGGAGTGCATATTTTGCGTACGTACTCGTGAGTAAACCAGTAGCAAGCAGCACTCGGCGACGCAGCGGCGGTGGGGCAACAACAGCCAAAGCATTCGTATCGGCAAGCATGGCTAGATATGAACGAATTGCACCCTTGCACCCCTGAGTGCAAAAAACTGGAGTACATCAGTAGTAGACGGCGCTTCGACAAAATGAGGTGGCCCCTGTCGTACACTTTGTTTTACTACCCGACTGGCTTCATGTCGCATGCACGGGAACGTAGCAGCGCGACACCTCTTCCGCTGGTGCAGAGGCAAACAAACTGGGGAAGAAACGTGGCACAGTAACAGCAGTGGATAATCCCTTAAAAAACAACGCCGTGCGCGGTCGCAACTCGTGGAGCGGGTGAAGCACCAACAGCAGTCCTGACAAGAACAACGTACCAATAGTCTAGACTACCGTAGATGACACAAGATAACACACCCCCTGGACCGATTTTCAAATCTCGATTTCTGGACAGTAGAAAGCGTTACAGCGCGGAAAACGGTGGAGTTGAAGGTGTCTTGTCTAGAGCTTTCCGAAAATGTATTGTTTCATATATGCATCCGCTTCGTTGTCGCATAATCGAGCTTTGAAAATTGGCCAAAGGGGAGTGTTATCTTGTGTCATATACGGTCGTGCTACATACGCGCCAATATCGATTAAGCAAAGGTAGGCGGTTGCGCGGGTACCGACTTCATGCTGCCCCCTACGGGTTGCTTGCAACCCTCCCAATACCATGAAGTCATCGATGAAGTCGTCGGGATCAGCTCGTGTTTCCGATGCAGCCATGCAAGCAAAGCAAGACAAACAGCAAAACAATCAGCGAAGTGTCTCCGTGCTATGTAGACGAGTAGAGCGCCCTCAGAACATCATGTGCTACTTTTTGTTACTTGGATGTAAGGTTTGGTCACTTTTCATGCTTCGGCGTTTCTTCATCTCGCGGCAGCGAGTCTTTTCTCGCGGTTCCGTCCCAGGGGAACGCAGGAGACTCGTCGGTAGATTAACGCCCGTGCCCGGAGCTCGGTAGGCCTCCGTGGCGCTGTGATTGACGGCCAAAGTTGCGGAAACTGGCTCAAAACCCCAGGGACGCGTTCCGCTCTGACAAAGCCTGGCGAACCAATTCTGAAACTCATCAAACCCATGACGTGGGATCGGCCGGCGGGGGCCTATCGCGTGTAGATGTGTGTGTAGATGTGCCAGTGGGGTCGTGGGTTTGCGCGTCTGGAAGTTGCTTGCGATCAAAGTGTGTTTCTTAGGCCTTCGTGGGCCGGGAACAGCAAGGAAATCGACCACTGAAACGGGGGGGCACGCGACATCGGCTGGCGCGAGCTAATTGCGCCGCTTCACTTGCATCTATCCAATTGCGCCGCGTCACTTTCTCTCCAACTCTCTCACTTTCTCTCAACTAACTGCAATTCCCTCATACGCTAATCATTCCAACCATAAACCCCACACCTCCTCAATTCTAATCTCCAACTCATACGCTTTTGATTACCTTGTTTGACGATGATTGCGCTCACAAAGAAGCAGTGCATTTGGGAGAGGAAGTGACTTTCGGTATTTTACAGAGGGTGTATTGGTGGATAGGAATGGCGAAAAGCGTACGTTGGTGGATCCGTAGGTGTTATTCTCGTCAGTTTCGGAAAGTGCCGCGGCATACAAAGTGTTGGCCTTTAGTGTCTTTTGTCTCTTCCGAGCAGACCGGGACAGATGTTGTCGTTTGATTATTTGGGTCCGTTGCCGAAAACGACGAAAGACAACCAGTATGTGTTCCTTGTGGTAGATTCATTCAGCAGACATGCCGAGGAGTACCCACTAACGAAGGCGCAGAAATGCGAAGGGAATGCGAAGGGATTAGTGTCTATCATGGTGAACGATTATATTGCGAGATGGGGTTAATCCATGACCCACGGTTTCAACAACCTGGGCACATACGTCCGAACGGGCACTTCACCTACCAACCTGTCAAATTGCCCTGGATTTCGATTTGGATTTTCCGCAGGAGCTTTCGATTCTTTCCTCACCAACAAATTCTTCGAGTTCGGCAACACCAACAAGGTAGCCTGTGCCACCAACTGCTTCAACTTATCCAAATCTACGTCTACATTTTTCGGAATATCACCCTTCTCCATCCTGTTTGGATCAGCATGCCCTTCAATGGCCTTAATTGCGAATCGCGCCGTATCCTCTTCCTCCTGAATGTCCGCCCAATCACTAAAATAGCCGTCTTACCACATAAATTATCCCCAAATTCGATTGCCGCGTGCGTCTGTTCTTCATCATACTCTTGCAACGGAATTTGAGGCAACGGGGGTGCTGCCGGACCTCTGCCCCCGGAACCCCTTCCCCTAACACCACCACAGCCCCTCTTGCTCGAGCCGCACCACCTCCACTCCTTCCACGCGCAACAGCCCTGCTATTACGAGCATTACTGCCACCCCCGCCACCAGCAACAGCCCCACTTCCACGAGCGTTACTGCTACAACTACCACCACCAGAGGCACTGCCCCCTCCTTGCGAAATAACATACACTCGCGGTTTTTCCACCAATCCTAACAAGTGTCTGCCAACTTCCGTTAAAGGAGCAGCATGTAACATCAGCCCTGGCTCAAACTGACCACTAACTACTTCCCCACTCGGTTCCACCAACCGGGTGTCATCAGGCACACACGCACCATCAGGCAAAGGGTTGGACACGCCCTTTTCCCTTTGGATCAGCGCCCACGTCTTGTCTGCCAACTCATCCGTAGTGAGGCTTGCTGATGTACAGCCACTTTCCCCCACCACAAAATCGTCGCGATGGTTCGACCCAGCGGGCGCCTCTCGCTCGGTGTACACCGGACCCAATCGCGAAGGTAGCGCCCTGCTCGCACCTATCATATAAACATCGAGATCAGACGGATCAGTCAGCCTGACATCTGTTGCCTCATCCTCTTTCGTCGCAGGCAATGGCAACCGTTACATCAGATCGGCATTTGCATTCTCTCGCCCTGGTCGATACTTCAGTTCATATGTGTACGCTGACAGGAAGTCATGCCACCTCTGTACGCGATTATTTTTCTCTGCCAAACTCCCCAAGTTCCGCAAGGGTTGATGGTCACTGTACGCTCAAAGGGGATGCCATAAAATAGTGTTCGATTCTTCTTTATCGCCCACACTACATCGTATCGCACCCGCTTCAAGCTCAGTCGGAGTCCATCTGGTTTCATTCGCGAATGTTGATCTGCTCAAAAAGCATAGCGGTCTAATACTCCCATCTCGTTGCTCTTGCTCGATTATGGCTCCCAAGCCCGGAGTCGACGCATCAGCGGTTAACCGAAACGACCGCTCTCCCGAGATCGCACCCTCATAACACGGAAATGCCAAGACCTCAGGACCTGACAGAATATCCATCATCTTCCTCACTACTTCTACATGATCAGCCGTGAACGCAAACTTCGCCCCCCTTTTTCAGCACCGCATTGATCGGTTTCAATTTTGCCGACATGTTCTTCAGGAACTTTCGATAGTACGACAACGACCCCAACAACGATCGCAACTGGCTAACATTAGTGGGCATTGGCAATTCACGCAGCGGTCTGATCTTTTCCGGGTCCGGCCCGATCCCTTCCGCCGAGACTTGATGTCCCAAGAACGTCACCACCTTCACCCCCAGGTTATGCTTGTTGGGTGCCAGTTTCAGGTTGAACTTGACCATGCGCTCGAAAAACCTCTCCAGGTCGCGCACGTGTTCTGCCCCCGTCCCTTGGAAAAACGATCACGTCATCGATAAACAGACGCACACGTTACAGTCCGTCACATACTCTGGCCATCACCGAATGGAACCACCCAGGACTACTACTGAGACCTTGCGGCACGGATAAAAATGCCGTAGACGTGATAACAGCAGTGATCGGAATGCTGTCCTCCTCAATACTGCACTGGAAAAACCCACTGAC